GATGATGATTGAAATTAACATTTTTCCTTATTAGATATGAGACATGTTAATTTTCACCACACACACACACACACACATCTATATATATATTATTGCACGTTTCCTCTTTTTTTTTTTCTTTTTATATCTTTTTCATCATTTTTTGTCATTTTTCTTTTTATTTTCATTTTTTAATATTTTTTCATGATTGGTGGAGAATCGTCATCGGTCTCTTAAAATTAGGAGACTCGACGATTCATCCACCTATTAATCACCTAATTTAACTATCGACTATTTAAGTAATATTCAACATTAAGTAAATCTAAAATCAAATTACCAAAAGTTTAAAAGGTTAAAACCCAAAGCACATATATGATTTTAAAATTACCTCCACAATTTCGAATTTAATTAATATTAAATAGTAGGCTAAACTAAAATTTAAACACTAAAAGAAATTAATGACCAAGCATGAAAATAAATAAAAAAAATAGGTAAAAAAAACATCAAAATTCTAAAAAAATTAAATCTAGAGTACAAATGAAAACATGAAGCATGCCTTAAAATTGTAGGTTTAAATAATCTAGGGGAATGGCTAAGAATAAAAAATTAGGGGAAAATGGAGGTTATTAGGCCCAATGGGCCTATCGGGCCTTTTATTCTTTTCCTTCTCTTGGGTTGGGCTAAACTCCAGTCGTAACCCCCGCAAAAATCTTTAATGAGACACACAGACACACACACACACACACACACACACACACACACACACACATATATATATATATATATATGCTGAAATATTCGAGTAAATATACATTAAATATGAGTACAATTATAGGTGTCATTTTAATTATTTAGTGATGATGGTTAATTAGTACTCATGTGAAAATTTTGGGACACTTATGTGAGAATTTTGGGATGAAGTTTCAAATAAATTAATTAATTACCACTCATTATATATATTAAGTACTTGGGACATAAGTATACAAGGGAAATAGGGGTGTGTATAAAATTTTGAGAATATAGGAATATTTTTCTTGGAAAACATCATAGTGGAAAGGAAGGGAATTTCCGAGTTTAGAGGGGAAATTTATGAAATCCATGAAGGAAATATGTTAATTACTTGAAGCTAAGTTAATTAGGGTATTTAATTAGTCTAATCCCTTAGTTAGGACACCCAAGCCATTTCATTAAATGTAAGAGAGCCAACTCACCCAACTTGTACACAAACCCGCCACTTCATCATGACTCACCAAATTACTTTACACTTTGTCTAATTAATTCAAGACACATATAGACCTATTTAATGCAAGGAAATGGAAGACACCTATATATAGAGAAAGAGAGGGAATGGCAAACATTTTGGAAAAACTAGTAGCTGCCAAAGGATAGAAGAAAAAACCAAGTGTGAAGAAGAGAAAAACGGAAAAGAAAGAGAGAAAAGAGAGGAAAGAAAGAGAGAAGGGAAAAGAAAGGAAAAAAGAAAGAAAAGCTAAAGGAACCTAACCTCATCCAAACTAGGTAAGTGGATTTTTATTTATGTCATTTATTTGATCCTTCCATGAAAATTGATGTATTTGCTTAAGCTTTCAATTATGTTGTGTGGTATTGAGGTGTTGGTTTTGTCATGCTTGTTTGGCATATGATTGTTTTTTATTATGAAATATCTATGTAAGTAAGTTTTTTTGATGCTTCATGCCATTCAATTGATGTGATTGTAATTGATTAAGCTAATATATAGGTTATGAGGTGCTTGTTAGCTTAGTTTGTCGGTTAGGTTGTGTGGTTGATCAAAACATGATGGACGAACTTAGAACTTGTATAAGCATGAATAAAATGGAGTAGCAAGAAAAGAAAAATGAAATTTTAGGGTTTTCATGAGCAAAAGTTAAGTCGAGAGTTACACGGCCTCCCACACGGGCGTGTCTTTGCTCGTGTAATGAAGAAATGTATTTTTCTTCAAGTCGAGAGTTACATGGCCTCCTATATGGGTGTGTCCTTGCTTATGTAATAAAGAAATATGTTTTTCTTCGAGACAGAGAGTTACATAGCCTCCCACACGGGCATGTCCTTTCTCGTGTAATGAAGAAATGTGTTTTCTTCAAGTCGAGAGTTACATGGCCTCTCACACGGGTGTGTCCATGCTCGTATAAGTCACTCGGTCACTTAAAAGCCACCCTTTTTGTTTCGTACTTGTTCGGTTTCCATTATTTTCACCAAGATAATGTAATAAATTATTAATTAGGCTTAAATAGATAGAAAATGAAGGTAGAAAAGTATACCTTAATATAATTAAAATTTGATGTAAATACTAAGAATTATGCAATTCAAGTGCACAACGATTTAACAACTAAAATTACTAAAGGAAAGAAAAGAGAAGTATTTGCACACATAATTAGACCCATCACTCAACCAATACCATTTCGTTCTAACGAGAAGAACATGATGATAAAGGGTATGAGTATGCCCGAAACCCGATGTGGACTGGACCTATGAGAGCATGTGAAATTGAACCCCGCATGGGTTGCTATATTTAATATGGTATGTATCACATCACGTGCATCATGTGCATTGTAAGGCAAATAGAGAAAAGACAATTGATTGAGAATGGTTTACATGATTGGGTTTGGTAACCTAACGAAATAAAAAGTATTAGCAAGTCCAATTGTGTGTGTATTCTAAGTCAGTGTGCTCGTATCGTTAGACGATGATTCTCGTTAACGGTGGCTACAATGAGAGATAATTCCGTTATAGTAGAAGGTAATCCGAGAATCATCCGGATTAAAAATAAGCTATGTGCTTACACTCGTTAGATGATGATTCTCGTTAATAGTGGCTACAACAAGGGATAATTTCGTTGTAGCAAAAGGTGATCCAAGGATCATCTGGATTAAAATAGAGTAGACTTGCTAATATTTCAAGTTATCGAGAATTAAAATTGATGAGTATGGTGGGAAGTCGAAAAGCATTGCATATCATATGCATCACCCCACTTACCGAGCTTCGGCTCAACTTGTCATTATTTCTATGATGTAACGAGAAGAGGACAAAATAGTAAGGATGCGATCGGTTCCTCCTAAGAGGCTCGTGTGTAACACAAGAAGCCGAAATAAGTTTTATTTGTAATTTGAGGGCATGAAATCTGTACGAAATTAACCGCTAATTATAATATTTTGTTACCGTAATTAGTTATGCCATGTAAAATTTTCTATATGCAGTCTTGTTATGTAAGGTGCCGTTAATTTCTTAAGTACACCGTATGAGACGTGATTAGGGTTTAGGTAGTGTCAACATGACGCACCTTGCCTAGTCACTTCTATTTGGGTAATAGTCGATGGATCGAGGTTGGGGCGTCACACCGGCCCGGCTCATTTTCTTCACGTGCTAGGCTGAAACTAACCCAAGCCTTTTCCTTTTTTCTTTCTAGGTCGGGCTAGACCCATCCCGGTTCTATTTTCCCTCCGGTCCTTTCTCCCTTTTTTTCCTCTTTTCCCTTCATGGCATAGTACTCTTTCTTTTCCTTTTTTTTCTCTCTTCTTTTTTCCCCAACTTCATATTTCCTTTTTCCAAGATTGGTAAAGAATCATCATCAATATCTAAAAATTAGGAGACTCGACGATTCATCCACCTATTAATCACTCGATTTAACTATAAGTTATTTAATTAATATTCAACATTAAGTAAATCTAAAATCAAATTACAAAAAAATTTAAAAGGTTAAAACCCAAAGCATACATATGGGTTTAAAATTACCGCCATAATTTCGAATTTGATTAACACTAAATACTAGGCTAAACTAAAATTTAAACACTAAAAGAAATTAATGACTAAGCATGAAAATAAATCAAAATAAATAGAAAAAAATTAAAATTCTAAAAAAAATAAATCTAGACTACAAATGAAAACATGAAGCATGCATAAAAATTTTAGGTTTAAATGATATAGGGGAATGACTAAGAATAAAAAATTAGGGAAAAATGGAGGCTATTAGGCCTTTGAGCCTAGTGGGCTTGTCAAGCCCTTTTCTTTTCCCTCTCTCGAGTCGGGCTGAACCCCGATCCAGCTCATTTTCTTCTCGTGGCAAGACTTTTCCTCTCTTCTTTCGGGCTAGGCTAGACCCACCCCGATTTTATTTTTCCCCTCCGGTCCTTTTTTTTTTCTTTCCTTCTTTCCTTTTATGGCATGGTACTCTTTCTTTTCTCTCTTTCTCTCCTTTTTCCTTCTTCTTCTTCGTCTCACTACATAGACAAACAACCAATATTAATCTCGGACTAAACAAACCAAGAACTTCACAAGCATGGAATCTCATAACTATGTGTTTGTGTTATAGACGGACAACCAAGATTAATCACGGACTAAACAAACCAGGAACTTTATGGCATGGAATCTCATAACTATGTGTTTGTCTTATAAGACCCTTGGTAGCATCATTGATTAAGGAAAATAACTATGTTATCATCCAAATTTTTACCTATTGTTAGTTTTACTTCTATTTGTATTTTTATTACAAAAAAATGAAAAAAATGATAAAACAAAACAAAATATACAAAATATAAAAAATAAAAAAAGAAAAGGAAAAAAAGGCAATTAGAATAGTTAGCTTAGATTAATTCTAGAAAAGGGGGTTAATTGAAAAAAATAAAAGTTAAAAATAATTAAAAGGACAATTAAGGGCTCAATTAAAAAAATCAAAACTTATGTCTTTTAATTAAAATAAGGAGGGGGCACAATTAGAATAAATTAAAAAGAAAATTCCCAAATAGTTTAAATTTAAGGTCTCCATTAAAACATAAAAAACAAATGTAAACTCGAATTGATGGGTTGTACGGAATTAAGGACCAAAACAAACTTTGCTAAAAACAATATGTATAAAAAGCCCTCATGTATTTCTTTATACCATTTACTCGTTCATCTCTCCCATTTTGAAAACCAACCAGCTGCCATGCACACTCGTGCCGTATTCCCCAACGCCAAACCATGCCTACACCCTTCTCTTCCACACCCAAACACGCCAAGCCGGCTCCTCACGCCATACGTCGGCATCCACACACCCGCAGCTCTTCACTACACCAAGCCGGCCCCCAACGCCACACGTCAACCTCTACATGCCCATAGCTCCCTCTCGCCTCACGGCCTGCGATCCTCTCGCTAGCCTCCACGCGTACCACCAACCTCACTAACACATCGAGCTCATCGCCCTCGGCCCAAGACACCGAGCTCTCTCTTTCGCACTCGTCGGCCTTTAAGCACATCGACCTCCCTCCTACGGACTCGCTAGCCTCTACAACCAACCCCCAACATGCCAAGCCCTCTCCCTCATACCCGATAACCTCTACGACCAACCCCCAAGCACGCTAGGCTCTCTTCCTTGTACGTCCAAACCCGCACCAGCCTTGCATATTCATGCGAGCCGGTAGCCCACATGCCAAGCATACTAGTAAGCCGGTCACGCCCGCAGCGAGGCCAACCAAGCACACTCGTATGCCGGCTCCACCATAGGTTAGCATAGACCTATCTTACGCCAAACTCTCTCCCTCCTAACGCCCTCTCGTAATAGCACCATAAAACACCCCCTTTGGCCCTTTAAAATAGCCACCAAACGGACTCAAAACCCACTAAAAACTCTACAAAATTAGCCCTATAACTATTACCAATAGCCCTAAAAAAACCCTTATAAAGAACCCCTTCGGATAACTCATTGAAACCACCAAAGTAGCCCTACCCCTAAATTAGTTTTAGAATAACCTCAAAAACTCCCTAAAATACCCACCAAAATAGCTACAAAACCTTCCTCAAAATAGTAACTTGAACATTTTTTTGGAGTTAGTGAAAAAGAGAAGATAAGAGTAAAAAAAAATTAAAAAAAAAAGATAAAATATTTTCTTTTATTGGATTGTTAGTAGAAACAATATGATGTTGTATATTGCATTTGGTTGATCTTTTTTTACGGAAAAACAAGCTACATAACTCACTTGGAGTTTTCAAAAACTTTATAAATTTTGTTGTAACGTCGCCAATTTTTCAGCCTATCAAAGGAGTTTTTAGCCATCCTAGTGGCACTCACCCTTAAATTATCGACCAGCGGTTACCCTCCTTTTCTAGATGATCTAATATTCGATTATCTTCGTGAACGAAGAGGGTAGGATTGACTACGAATCTAACATCGAACTTTAGGACTTTTTAGGTAAAAAATCCTAAGACATGACATTTCTCAAAGCATGATAAATATTTAAAATGATTATGTGCTTGGGAATGTGGTTAAAACTGTGATATTTGGCTTAACATTTTCCAATTAAATGTGGTTAAAAATGAAACATTACTACAATGATCATTAAAGGACAATATGCCATGTTTTTTTTGTTTTCATGTTTGCCTATTTAAATGTGAAGTTTGTGATTCAATTGACTTTCCATGACTATTTGAATGATACAATGAAGTTGATGGTAGCTTTTCACTTATGTGACGAAGCTGTCGAAGGGCTTCGGAATAATCTTATCGACATTTTGCAATGCATGTTTTCCCTTGTAACCCCCGTAAAAACCCTTATCCGTAACGCAACGTGTATTAGAATAATTCTATATATATATATATTAAGAGTAAGTATAATTCTCATTTCATCATGAGAAATTAATGCTTGAAATATGTGATTTATGTTAAATTAAAGTTATTGTGCCTAAGATTAATGGTTTAATTATTAAAGAAATCAAATATGCAAAATCGGTGTTTTAAGGACTATATTACTGCCCGAGTTTTGTGTGAATTATTTGAGGACTTTAGGGTAATTTTTAGCTCCACCTTAAAGAATGAAAGTTGTTCATCTATGTGTTGCATAGGCCTATATAAAAGTTTATAATATTTGGACCTATACATTAAGAGTTATACCAATTATAGTGAGGGTTGTTTCGAAATGCATTCTGCTGGAATTTTGGGAGAAGAATCTTCCCGAATCTTGTGAGATTTATTTGATGCTCGTTAGATTGATTTTTGAGCAAACCTTAAAGAATAAAAGTATTTTTTCTATGTGTGTAATAGCTCTCTATAAAATTTCATAATTTTTGGATACATATAGAAAGATTTATGCATATTTTAGTATATATGGGTTAGGAGGTAACAACTGCTGAAATTTTAGGAAAAAAGAAATTGCGAATTTTAAAAATGGAAATTTTCGAATTTTTTATGAAAGAAATTATGTCTAATTACATGAACCCAGCTTATTAATTTTTTTATTTAGCCTAAGTTTTCTTTAGCCACCTAAGCACTTGAATTAAATGCTTGGAAGCCAAATCATCAAATTTGACTTCCAAAACATGCCGACTTTGCCTTCCAAGCTTCCTCCACTTTACATTTGACCTAGTTAAATTTTAACACTTATGATATAAATAAATGAGAGGATAAAAGGTGAGTATATAAGGGAAATAGAGGGTTAAATGGCTGCCATTTTTAGGCCAAAAACCATAGCCATCCAGAATTAAAAGAGAAGCCAAATTGAAGAGAGAAAAACAGCAAAAAGAGAGAAAGAAAGAAAAGAGAAAGAGAAAGGAAAAAAGGAAAGAAAAAGAGCTAAGGAAATTCTAATCAAACCTAAAAGAGGTAAGTAGGTTTCATTTCTTTGGCTGATTAATTTCTTAAATTATTTTTTTAAGTTATTTTGTTAGTTTTTATTTCATGGGTTATAATAATTTTCAATGGTTATATGCTTGATGCTTGGGATAAATCTATGTATGGATGCCTTGTTGTGATGATTTATGATGTTATGATGGTTTGAAAATGTCCAAGTATGTGGTGATGGTTTGGATTGAACTTGGACTAAATTTAAGTGAACTAAAACATGTTTAAAGTTGGCTTGGAATGAACTAATAAATTAGTGTTGATAAGGAGTAAATTCTGTCCGAATTTTGGGGTGTATGTTCAAGGATTTTAGATCTATTTCTAGGTGAAACTTAAAGCATAAAAGTTGTTCATCTATGTTTCAACTAACGTCCTTTAAATGTTCTTGGTCATTGGATTCGTGTACAAAGAGTTATACATGATTTAGTATAGATAGCTCTAAACAAACTACTATTAGGCAGATTGCTCCCTAAGTTTCAAAAATTTGTAATTAATTTTGTACTTGGTATTTAGACCTAATTTTTAGATATATTATAAATAAATATGTCTAGTATCTAAAATAAAATGAGTAAGATTTAATTATGCTCTAAAATTAAAAAATTATTTACTCGATTAGGAGTTGCCCGGTAATAAACCCTAAAACAAAAAAAAATTAGACTTGGACAAAATTTATAGGTTTGGAATAAAATAAATGAGCTTAGACTAAATAAAATGGAATTAAATAGAGTCAATGGACCTAGGATAAATTTAATGGGCTCGGATTAAAATAAATGGACTTGGACCTTCTTTTAAATATTAATGAAACTAATGAACAATATTAATGAACGGAGTGTTCTCGCTCCGAGTATCGGGATTGGTATGTGAGCAATGGATAAATTTCAAGTGTGGGTTGGACCGTGAGTATGGCATGAGAATGAAGGATTGGTATCCGAATTTGGTTGAATGTGATTAAATATGTCATCACGTGCATCATGTGCATAGTGGGTGGTTTAAGACAAGTCAATTAATTGAGAAATGGTTTATACATCTAGGTTTGATAACCTAACTGGGATAAATGGATATTAGTAGTCCAAGTACTCTAGGTCGTGTACTGCACTCTTAGATAATGGATTTTCGCTAATAGTAGTTACAACGAGGGATAATTCGTTGTAGCGAGAAGATGATTCGAGGATCATCCGGATGAAATCAAGTCGTGTGCTTGCACTTGTTAGACGATGGATTGTTGCTAACGGTAGTTTCAACGAGGGATAATTCCATTGTAGCAGAAGGTAATGTGCGGACCACCGGATGATAAATAGAGTAGATCGGCTAATACCCGTGGTACCCGAGATTAAAATTTATGAGTATGGTGGAAAGTCAAAACAACATTGCATATCATGTGCATCACCCTACTTACCGAGCTTCGGCTCACTTGTTGTTATTTGTTTTATGTCTTGATAGAAAAAGGACAAGTTGGTACGGATGCGGCTAGCTCCTCCTAAGCTGGCTCATGTGAGGCACCATATATTAGTTTTTATTTTGTTCGTAAATTTAGGGTATGGAGTTCATGAGAAATTGAATATTGCATCGTAATGTTTTATTAATGTATTTATTTATGTGATGTAAATTTTATCTTAAGGAGTTATATATGTAATGTGCTATTAAAGTTTTAAAAATATCATAAGAGAACTACTTAGAGTTTAGGGTATGTCGGCGTAATGCGCTTCGTCTAATACTCTACTTGGGTAGTAGAAATATGATTGGGGCGGGGTGTTACATCCCTACCTCTCATTTTTTATCCTAGGTTGTCTGTTCTCTATGTTTTATTATTATTTTTTTTAAAAAAGTTATCGATGGCTCTTCATTTATGTGATGAAGCCGTTAGAGGGTTTTGAAATAATTTTTATTTAATGTATGCTTTTTGAAACGAAGTCGTCTATAACTTCTCACTTAAGTGACGAAGTCACTATCCGTTTTTGAAACGATTATTTGCTCCTCACTTGAGCGACATGAATTTATCGATGATTTCTCACTTTTGTGATGAAGTTGTCAATAAATTCTTAAATGCATGACACGAAACTTCGGTGGCTTCCCACTTGTATGAGTGAAGTCGTCGGTGACTTACGGCTCATGCTAATAAAAGGCTATTTATCTTTAAAAACTCGCTTATTTATCGATAATAGGTCATGTTGAGTAATGATTAGCTGAAATTCTATCTTTTTTTCATTTTTCCCCATTTGGGTAGGACATATTGGCCTTGTACCGGCCTAAACATCTAAACTATCATGTTTTACACCCAAACCATCTCGTCTCATATTTTCATCAAATAAATTCATTTAAATAGGCATAGAAGTATAACATGATAAAAGCTAGATTTTTATATTCATAGGCAAACAATGCGACTTACCTTCGGTAGAATGGGATGATGGTGATGTCATATTTTTTTCATACGTAATCGACCCTTTACCTAGATATCTAATTAGAAATATAAATTTGGATTGTTTTCTAGTTCTTCTCGATTAGCTAGGTGAAGATTCCTTATTCTAGTCCTCTCCCCTTGTGGTGGTCAACGTCAACAAATTAAAGAAAGAAAAACAAGAAAAGAAAATCACTTGTAAAATCTAAGCGGACTCGGGCTTAGAGATGTTTTGATGATTTGAGGTGTTTCGGGATGTTAGACCGAACTTCCTTAAATCCCAAGTGATTGAAAGTGGAAGATAAGACTTATTGTTGTTGTTGTATTCCCTCTATTTTTAGGATCTCAAAAAGAAATGGTGATGGTGGGACTTCCTTGCTTGTTTAGGACTTATAAATGATTTGTGGATGTACCTAAGACATGGACCAGGTGATTGGAGATTGAAACAAAGGTTCTATAAACCCAAAAAAATGTTAAATTTCGTTACTCAAACCTAGGTTGTTC